TAGTACTGGGCTGCATGGGCTGCAACCCTTCATGATAAGCAAAATCGTCTTTACTGCGGCCAGAAAGTGAGCTTCCGTCTGGTAACATTGCTGTCCCCACCAGGCAGCAGCGGAAGGGTCTAGGAGTGACACCCCGAGTTTCCTCGCCCAGCCCGTTCCCCGCAACTCGTCTCTACAACACTTGGTAATCTGGTCATGCCAGCCCTCCGCCAACCACTTGACTTCACCATCACTCTACCGCGGGGTTGCAACAATTTTCCGCACACAGACCAGCGTACCGGTATAACATGGAAACACGTTCTGACGAAGATTCCGCATGGTATGACCAGCGCGTCTTTCTCCTGCCAATCTATCCGAAATTGGTCATGGGCGAACCGATCCGCTTGCTTGGCAGTCCTCGTCCAGATCTCTGGCCGTGTTCACGGCCGCCCCTTGGTCTTTGGAGAACCTGCAGGTGGAGTGGATCGTGCTACTGTTGATCCGCGCTGCGGCAGTCCCCGACGTCGCCGTGATCAGCAGGCGATTCGAAAGGCTCCTCCTACTGAACAACTCGACGAGTGCCTCGATGATTTGCGACTTGCCGGTCCGCCCTCGCCGCCGACGAACTGGCAGAGCTGGCCGACATCGCCTCCGTCGGTTTGTCGCATCAAATCGAGCTGGCGGCATATAATTGAGAAAGCGATCGACTGCGTTTTGTTCAGCGTCAGCCGTGTTGCCCACTCTCTGCCCGCCGCAGAATAAGAGGTTGATAGGCCAAATCGGACCTGCATTCCCGCCTCTGCGTCGCCTGCCTGGCAGCACGCTCAGTCATCGTTCGCTGCTATCTTCCACATCGATAAGATTGCAGTGACTTCTCAAGCTTGGACTCACCAGGGGTCAGCGTCTAACATTCACATACGCTGACAGTTCATGGATGCTGTCTGCGCCAGATTGTAAGGTCAGGCCGTCGTCGCCTCAATCTGGCTCTAGCTCTAACTTACCAACTCTTCCACGCGTGCAACGGGGACCATATGGCCATCATTTGACTGTAGGAGACAAAGCCAAAAGTCGCATCTTCCACACCTGGTCTGATAGAGATGATCAATGACCCATCACGGGCTACCCTGTCATGAGTGGGAGGGTACCTCAAGCTACTTGGCGCTTAGCTGGAAATGGCTGTTTATTGGCAATCATGTGTCAAATAGGCCGCGGTTTTTTGTAAGCCTGTTCTGCCTTGCAAAAATCTGCAGTAGCACTCGTGTACACTTTGAGCCCCACAAGGCGCTAGGTAGCGCGTTCACTATTTGCCAGGGTGTCCAGCTCAGCACGCCCAATTACGCCAACTCATTTAGCGGAGTGTCATCCCCACATGATTGGCTCAATTTTGGAGGTCTAGTCTATGCTCACCCTGGTGTCATGTTATGGAACGCAAGCCACCTGGGCTCACCCTCCGGACTCGACTGTTTGTCGACTTTACAGCAAAGCGCCATCGATGATCGGAAGGGCTGGAGTAGCCCTAAGCCGACACTTCGCTAGAACTCTCGATTTCGACTGGAAAAGCTGCCAGCGGAATTGGAGGACGTTCTACGGACCGGACTGTGAATTTGGACCAGCTCGGAGGACAGTTCGATCATTAAACACTGACAATCTGAACCTCAGGAATCAAGTTTCATGGCTCAGCTTGATCGTTCACGGCTCTATCTGAGGATCTTCCCCGGTGACCTTTGTGATCGCTTCCATGCCCACTCGTTGCGAGAGGCGACATACCGTAGCAATTGTCATGTTGCGGCTTGCGATCGCTTGCTGCAAGCAGCCACCACTTTAGGTTTAGCAGAGTCCGGCCAATAGTTAGGCCTGCCGAGCGCTGTTGCATAAATAGAACCCCTGTGCCCCCTCTCTCCTCTGGCCGCCATTCCCTTCCGCATATCACGCCGCAATGCATGACATCGGTTCCAATATTGTCGTGGCGTATTCGCTCGCTTTGTGTGCAGCGTTATTATTCATTGCCTGTGTCCATTTCCGCTCAGAGCTGAGCAAGGTTCGAGACCTCATCCGCGTCCCCGTTTTAAAGCATCTTGTCTACCGTCCGGCTCTCGGAAGCCGAATCCTCGTAGATTGGAGCCGCGCGGACATATTGACACGGCTTGTCTACCTGACCGCGACGATCTTCTGCCTTTGCTTCAATAGTCACGATATCGCCTCGGCAGGACTGCGCGCAGCCAACCTTTCCCTGATACACATGGTGCTCCTGTTCGCGTCGCCGCACCTTGACTCCCTGTCAAATGCACTGGGACTGAGATGGCGCTCTGTGCGTCGTCTGCATGCTTCAGTTGGTGTGATGGCCTCGCTGCTACTTGTATTTCACATAGTTTGCGTCCAGGTTGATCGTCACCCGTTTCCTTTGGATAAGCCGGAGAATCTCTGGGGTCTTGTAGTGAGTGATCTGGTTGAAGAACCATGTCTGGCGCGTTGCATATATTCTGACTGGTTGAATTCAAGTCTTCGTCTTCACTGGGCGCACTTCTCTTGTCTGGTCCATTCTTCAAGAGGAAGTGGTACGAATTGTTCCTGCGTCTTCACCAAGGTCTGGCGATCCTGCTAGTTTACGGGCTCTGGACGCATCTAACCAATGAACCGCTGCTCCCACGCATCTATCTCTACTCTCTCCTGGGCATCTGTGGATTGTCCGGTCTCTGGATTGGCTTCCTGATGCTCCGTCGAAATGCAGTCTTGTCCCGCGGCTTCCCCAGGGCTACAATTACGCAGTCCCGTGGCGCCATAATCGTGACTGTAGCCTTGTCACGGCCGCTTCTTGTAAAGGCCGGACAGCAGATAAATCTCTGCCTTTTTATGCCAGCGACGAGCTTTCGATCCCTGTTTCAGAGCCACCCTTTTGTAATAGCATCTTGGTCTGACGCTCCTCAGTCCTCCCTGGACCTCCTTATTGAACCTCGACGGGGACTCACGCAGCAGCTTCTCGCTCGCAGCAGCAAAGACCCGCACTCTACTTGTCCAGCCATGTTCACCGGGCCGTACGGAATAAGTGTTCCGGTTGGCGAGTACGGAGTCGTTTTGATGATTGCGAGCGGGTTTGGCATAGCGGCCCAGCTGCCGTATCTGAAACAACTCTTACATGGGTACAATAGTCGCAGAATACGCACGCGCAGGATCCATCTGGTGTGGAAACTGAAGACATTTGGTGAGTAGAGAACTATGCACTAGAGCGTGCAAGCGTGCCTTCTCACAGATCTAGAACTACCTCGCAATCGAGCGGCTGCTCAACAATGCTCTGGATGATGACACCCTGGATGATGGTTATGTGAGTGTACGTGCGTCGCTAATGGAGTGTCTGCTCACCGTAGACAAAGATACTGCAGATATCGGTTTACGTCGAGCACGCGAAACGAGATGACAAAATAAGTCCCCGCGCCAACGTCATCAAAGGTGTCCCGGATTGGGACACCATCGTCAGGGAGGAGGTAGCAGGAAAGCATATCAAGAGGGTTCAAGAAGAAGCCAAGACTAGAGAGAATATGATCGTAACAGGTAAGAATTCAGTGTTTCCCACGATGGCGCCGCTAACACGCGTAGTTTCTGCATCGTCGGGAATCAGGATCAAAATGCAAGATGTCGTGCAAGGGTATATAGCCAAAGAGGTGGAGATGGTAGAGCTGGACTACCAGCCAGACGAATAGCTATAGCAGTAACAAAGAGATCACAAGCAACCTATTTTCTTATATGGCATATCCACTTGTAAAGGCGCTACTGCTTGTTTCGCCACCCTAGATACTCGTAGTCTGGTCTGGTCCAAGCCATCACGAACGACGTTAATCCTTTGAGCCTCTCCTTCTGCCATGAACGAAGGAATGGGTGCTGAAGCAAGTCAGTACTTGAATTAAGGAAACTCAAAGGGCGTACGGTACCTCGAGCAGCTCTCGGACGGACGACGCCGATGTTGTTGCGCTGAGAAACCCGACGGCATTCTCGTGCCAGCGATCAGGATTATCGAGACCGATGGTCGTGCCATCCTGGCGTCGCCTTCCATTAACTCCATCATAATGAATCCGACATCTCTAATGTCTTTGGTCGAAACCTTCACCGTGCAATCTTCCTGGTTGCCTGGAGCGTTCTCATTAGCGTCGTGTTTCGCATCCAGGGACAAGGATGCACTACCGAGCTTGACTTTGCCACTGGGGTGCAGAAGGATTCGAGAAGTAGTCAGATGCCCGTGTTGCAGTCCTTTCTGTTCGAGATATCCCAATGCTGTAACGATCTGCTGCGAGTTAGCGGCCTTTACTGTACTCGAAGCTGAGACCGGTTGTTATACTTGTCCTACAATAGCGGCAAGCCTGTCACTGTTGAGATAAGGGTTTCCGCTACTTCTTCCAGAGATCGGGCATATGCTCGTACGCTACATAACAGTTGTCTTCCATGCGGTATATCTCGTGCACCGTGACGAAATTCGGATGTTGAATGGTCTTCAGCATTCCTATCTGATCGTCCCCAAGTGCCGCAAAGCACCCAATGTCGACGACGTCGAACGATATTCCAATTCTTTCTGCAACGACCACGGGGCCGTTGTCTCCAAGGTGCAGAGCGTAGATGATCTCATAGGTGTCCCATGGCGGGCACGTCTTTATTGGTATCGTCTCCATCGCTCGCTTGCTGTCTCGAATTGCCTCCACAGTCCTCAGATATTCGACCCGGGCCGATGGATCTACTGCGTGTCCCTGGGGACGTGGTTTGTGTAGCCGGTTGGGCGGCTTCGAAGCCATGTTTCTGCTATCCATTTCCATGCGCAGTTGATGAAAATACAGTATTTGATGGAGGCTGTCGAGCTCGGAAGTGAAGATGTTGGGGGCGATTAAAGGCGGAGATGCGCGCCAGGCTTGGAGGGCCACAAATGGCTGTTGCTATCCTCTTCGTCCGTCTTTTGCCTGTGACTCAGAGCATTTAACGTTCTTGGCTCTCACAAGGCCAGCGAGCTCGACGCCCCGCAGTTCCCTTTTCTCATAATCGCAATGGCCAGGAACACCTTCGTAGAGGCGAACCGTCGTCTCGAGGACGAACGACGAGCAAAATACTGCGGAACGGCCAGCATCAGGGTATCCTCTTTGCAGTTCCGGAATCGGATGCAGACGGAAGCGGGTTCGCACAAAAAAAATGCCGATTCGCTCAAGAGAATATTCCGGGAGGAACGTGGCTGTCGTCAGGAGGATATCCGCCATCATGCGAAGGCTATCATTAGCCAGCGAGACCTAGAAGCGGCATTGGCTGGCACGGAACTTACGGTCGCGAGACTGGGGGCTGACACTTTGCCCTATCCGCAGCTTGATTTACCCCCTGAAGTCAAGTTGGAATGTGTGCAGGGTTGTGACCGTCTTACGGCGGCTGATGACGTCCTCGATGGCGCGAACAAGCGTTGGGTGGTGGACCTCTTCCTCGACGGTTCGTCATCAAGTGGATGACGTGTGCCATGCTGACGTGGAGCAGACCTAAGTGACGACCTGAAGCGGATGCTCCTGAAGACTACGACCACCAGAAAGCCCTAGCGATGGCGAGTTGTATCGCAAAATCCGGGAGTACCAAGGCATTGGCGGCCAAGAGAACGACTTCTTCGAGAGGTTGTGGCTGGGACGGCTGGCGGTGTCGGAAAACCGCCGGAAAAACTTTGACCAACTTTGTCGGCACCGCAAGTATGCCGCAGCCTTCGATGACTTGCTGGAAATCCCGGCGCTGATGGGAGGGATGCGACTTAGCGTAGTGCACCAGATGATCCCGATGAAATGTGACGAGGTGATACAGCAACGAACCATTCATCGGATTGGAGCTAACACTACATAGCCAAATATTGTCTACCTTAGGAATATCCGCAAATGGTGGAGCGGACTTTGCGGCGGCAGCCACGAGACCATGTGCCAAATTGACAGTGCGACCGTCGAGGCTCTGCAGGGTAGGGCTCCTGGAGCCTGCAGGACAGATCACGATGACTTGGTTGCGAGATTGAAAAGCGGGCAAATATTTGGCAACTTTTCAGAGCTGCAGCGCGAGGCGATGTGGCCCAAAGTCTGCAGCACATCTCGCACACAGTTGATCCCGTCATTGTTCACCTTTTTCGAAGACCGCAAGTTTCTTGCATGTGCTGCGGAGTGCATGAAGAAAATCGTGGATACAGGACCACGAGATACGATTGCAGGCCGCCTGGAAGACATGTTTACAGACGTCAACCAAGAGAGGGAGCGATGCGTGATTCAGATCTCGGACGGGAGCTTTGGAACTGTTGCAGGAGACGTCGCGCTGAGAATTGACTTGGGGATGCGGCAGCTCTGGCTGGCCGCATTCCGCATGTACCAAGACCTGCCGACCGACGCGCGAAAGAAAGAACGCTTGGCGAAAGCGCGAATGAAACCAGACGAAAGCGCACTTTATGACCTCGCCTCGCTTGCTTCGCGACTTGGATTCGAGTCGGAAAAAGTGAGAAAGATATTGCAGGCGTCACCGGACAGGGCCATCGCCGAACACGCACTGCTCGCGGCTCGGAAGCCAGGGCGATTCCAGTACGCAAATCGCGAGCAGCGCATCCAACAAGTGGTTGACGTATTCGCAACGGCCGTTCCAATGTCTGACGCTGAAGCATCGGAGCATGCGGATACTACTACCGTGCGTGTGCAACCTCCAAACCGATACGGAATACCCCACCATCTGGATCACGAACGCGATAAAGCCCGGCTGTTCCTTTCGAAGCTGGGCGAAGCAGCAGAATCGAATCAAACAGAGCTGGGCTCGTTGTTCATCAGAAGGTCGGTGTATTGGGCCTACTTTGGACTACCTCCATCGACCGAGGGCTGCCTTGCAGTCCGCGAAACGACAAATCTAGATCTGTCCATGCCTGACCAGCCATCCTCACCGTTGGAGATCTCAAATCGTGTGGAGTTGAGCAGGGCCCTTATTGTACGTGCCCTTGACATGGAGCTGGACGCGCCACAGGACGACTCGCATCGAGTAGATGACCATAGGTCCAAGCTGCAACAGTTACAGCGAGACATTGAGAATGAGCAGACAAAGTTAGCTCAGCTCAAAATTCTGCTTGCCGCAGAGCAGAGCAAGATCGAGGAGAAGGAAAGGCTGCTGAGACTGCTCGCTAGACAAGATGAGGAACAACACGCCAGGATCGAGGACAAGGAAACATTGTTGGGACTACTCGCAGGAAAGAGGACGAACTACACGCCAAGATCGAGGAGGAGGAAGCATTGTTGGGACTACTCGCTAGACGAGAGGAGGAACACCACGCAAAGCTGCGACAGTTGGAAGAAACGCAGCAGGAGCAACAGAACAAACTGGATCGCTTGACAAAAAGGGTGCAGGAGGAAGAAGAGAGACAGCGCACAGAAATGGCTCTTGCGCTACGGGATGACCCCGTCTCTGAGGCCGAGGAACTCGGGGGGAATGAAAGGTTACGGACCGAGAACCAGCAAGTCCCCAAGGGAATGAATGTGGCATCAAGACGGGCCAACAGACGAACGCGGTTTTCCTTCGGGAGGCTCCTTGAGGACGCGCCGTCCGGCCTTTGGACGGGAATGGCAAGCGCAGAAGACGGGGCATCCTGCCAGAGACCATTCGCATCGAGTTCAAGTTGCTCGAGCAGAGCGGCATGTTGAAAGTTGTCGATACTCTAGATGTTGATCCTGCTGATCCATCACCAGTGCGTCGGCTCGCGGGGAAGTATGTAAGGAAGAACTTCTGCCTGTATGATGTGCATGGAAATAATCTAGCGCCCAAGAACTGCTTCGAAAAGGCTACGATGGGCGGGGCTAACACAATTGTGTTGAGGGACGTATCCCAGGCTGCTACCACAGCCAGGAAAGTGAGGATTATGGGCGTCGAGGAAGAGCAAACGAGAAAGTACAGAAGAAAGGGTTAGTATGGGCATGGGAGCTTCTGCTTCAGCAATCGGACATAGGAATGTTGGTGTGCGATTATGCTGGCGAGTGCGAATTCGTTTGTGTCCTTCGGTGTGTGTGCTGGAGATCTTCCTCACATGCTGGCACCTGCGTGTCGTCGCAGGCGGCCAGTCTCGCACTCGCTGCTGCACACTTCGAGAGCTGCATACGCAGCTTCACGTGCGCAACCGGCTGCGTGTATCCAGGGGGGCTCAACGATACAGTTCACTGGTGCACTGGGTGTGGAAGAAATTCCACAACGTCACGCCGTTCTTGTCCCGCCCTAGTCACCAGCAGATGCGTTGCAATAATGCGCTGATGTCGCCATGGTGCTTTTGCCTCGGCCTCGCGGTCAGTATCTTGTTCGGTCTCTTCTCGAGCGATATCGTAGAGGCGCTGATTAACAAATCCGAGGCTGACAACATCTTCAATGTACTCAATATGAAAGAATATGAGTTGATGGAGTTCGGTAGGGAGGCCAGACAAGGTGGCCGGTTGAGAATTCGGCGCGTGGCTTCCGCACTTTGTCTTCTTCCGAAGTCGCGGAGGGCTTTTCGATGGTTCGGCGTCAGCTTTGCGTTTGACGGCTACGGTTGCCGTCACCTCGCTGGCAGGGGAAAGGCCACCTTGTGATGCAGCCCGAGGCTCAACTGGGGCTTGCTTCAGGTCAATCGTGTGCCTAACGGGGACGGCGAGCAGCTTGACGAGGGCCTTGGCGGAGCCGTGAAAAAGTATTTCTCCATTGCCTCCAATATTCCTTGGCTAGCCTGGCGTGAGGGGCCAGAAGCTTAACCTTAAACGTCTGTCCCATGTTGAAAACTTTTGGTTGTGAGTTGGCAGACGAGCAATCTAAGGTTATGCGGTGCTACAGAGATGATACTAAATCATTCGAACAAGATAGGTAAGCTTTGCACGCTTTACAACTGTGGAAAAATGGGAGGAAAGCATAAGAATAATCACAGCAGGAGCTGTGTGCGTCCCTAGCCTTAAGGGCTAGGGCGCAGAGAAGGCTGACTAACCAAATGGGTCGGACTAATAACGGGCCGAGCCCATCACAACACCGCGAGCACGACGAGCCCCATGAGGGCATCACCAGACTCCTAACATACATGCCCCTATGTTTCTTTGTGATTCTCACACCCACATAACAATACATCTGGCATCCTAGGATCGTCCGCAGAATCTCTGCTTCGCGCAGGGCCAGCCCCGACTTCGTCCGGACGGTCCTGTCCCTAGGTGCCGCTTCCACTGCGCAAAATTGCTCAATGGGAGCTTCTGCATTAGCAGTTGAACGTAGGAATGTTGGTGTGCGATTTTGCTGGCGAGTGCGAATTTGTCTGTGTCCTTCGGTGTGTGCTGGAGATCTTCCTCACATGCTGGCACCTGCGTGTCGCCGCAGGCGGCCAGTCTCGTACTCGCTGCTGCACATCGAGAGCTGCATACGCAGCTTCACGTGCGCAACCGGCCGCGTGTAGCCAGGGGCCCAATGAGGTTTGTCACACACAGGGAATACCGGCCTCCAACAGTCTGGCCCCTATTTCGCACAGTTTATCCACGACCACACAACTCCTGGGCTTGGACGCTGCGGCCGATTGGCGCTGCGCAGCTCCCAGAGCCTTGCCCTGCGCCATACTCCAGGCGGACCGTCAGACTCTATGGTATACCGTGGTACATACTACGGGGGCCTCAAAGTCGGCCATCCACAGTCACGGGGATTGGCGGACTTTGAGGCCCCCCTAGTATGTATGGCAGCGTGACACGCCCCTGCATCACAGGCAGCTTAGATGTCATCGTTCTGCAAGTCGCGACACTGCAGCCAAAATGCACTTCTACTTCCCCTAGCCTCGTTCCGCAAGATATTATACTGCAGGGATAATATGGCTGCACACCTAGGACGTATTTGGGCATGATATAGTAGCGTAGCTCCGGTAATCTATCGAAGAAGGAGAATTGATAGGCGCCGTTTGCTGCGCCTCGCGCCAAGGATGATGGTCTCTGGTCAGCGATGCTGCAACTTTGTGAGTATGTACAGTAAACACACACCAGGCCCCGGCAACCCAGCCGCCGCGAACTCCCCGACCCAGATTCTCGCAGGGAAGTAATTTGGAAAGGTAAGGGTCAACATGTAAATTGAGGTTCGTCTGTTCTATCTAAGAAGGAGTGAGCAAGAACCCTATTTATGACTCAAGGAGAGTAGAAGAGTTCAGGGAACGACGCATAAACTAATGAGGACAGATTGCAGATATGCATAAGAAAAGGGTAGTGGCTTAAGCAAAGGGAAATAGTCCTGTTACAGGATCCGTGATGTGTCAAGTACAAATGGTACGTATCCTGAGTGCAACAATAATGTTCAGCCGCTCAGTACTGGGCGTGGAACGAGTGAAATCAGTGTCCTAGAAATGGTGGCAACTTAGTCATAAATGGTTTAGTCGATACCCTGCACGCAAGCTGGGTAAAGCCTGTCGCTGTTTACTGGCAACTCAGGGCAGCCCAGGGCCTCAGGTGCTGATCCGGCAGCTCAGGGCAGCTCAGGGCAGCTCAGGGCAGCTCAGGGCAGCTCAGGTCATCAGGGCAGCCCAGGGCGGCTCAGGACCGGCTCAGGACCGGCTCAGGGCGGCTCAGGGTGCTTCGAGGAGCCCAGGCTGTGCTCAGGAAAATGCATGTGCAGGTGAATTTCCGAGGTCCGAGGGTAGATTCTGGTTGCTGTGTTGTGTAGGTGAGATATATCGAAGGATGATGCTGAAGCTTCGGGGGATTCTCGCTGCCAGCTCTTTTCGTGCTCGAGATTGGCTGCACGACGGCTTTGTCGGGAAGAGGTAAGATAGGAGCGTGCTTTAAGTAGCTTTATAAAATACTACTTGGTTCGCCCTATGAATATTTGTCCATGTTATCCCTCTCGCGAAGAGAGGGTGCAAGTGATGAATTGATTAAGTTGCTTGTCCTTTTTTTCCTTCCTCCTCCCTAACAAAAAGTGACTTCTTATAGTTCTGTCACCTGTGGCTGCCTTGTGGTGGCGATGTCGCCACCCAGGCCGCCTAGATGACGTTGTCATCTAGAAGGTTCGATACCACCGCTTAACAACAACATTATTCATCCTTCTCAGTCACCTTTGCTAGAGTCAGCCCGATTAGGTAACCTTCGGACCTAGATCGTTAACCCGTTTTCACGACACACCCCCTTAGCTATAGCCTATCCCGATCGGGTGTAGCTAAACAGCCTTTTAAAGGGCAACGATCGAAGGGCCGATCGACCGGTGTGAATAGGAGATACGAATGCTTTACCTTCCGGGCGGCATAGGCTTCCTATGGTCTTTGATCTGGTCTCGGAGGTCTTCTAACCGGGCCTCTAGGCGTAGCCGCTCCGTGAGATCTTCGAGCCCAATCATCCTTTGGAACTCGAAGAGTTTCTGCTTTGGCAGAGCTTTGGTCAAGCCATCGGCTCTCATATGTGCCGTGGGGACCCAACGGACCCGGATTCGGCCTTCCTGGCATTCCTGACGTAGCCAGTGTTGATGGATATCGACATGCCTTAGCCTTGTAGATAGCTTCGCGCTTCCTTCTTCGAGGAGCCTGATTGTCTGCGAGTTATCACACTCTACTAGCAACGGCAAGGGGATCTGAATCCGTAAAGACGTCAACAACCGGCTTAAGAAGATTGCTTCTTTTGAGGCTTCTGAAAGAGCTAGGAGCTCTGCCTCTGTGCTCGACGTTGTGACTGTGGCTTGCTTCGAGGCTTTCCACGCAATGGTTCCCCCAAATAGGGTCATAACGTAGCCTTGAGAGCTCTTTCTGTCGAGAGAATTGTCTGCAAATGATGCATCACTCGAACAAAAGAAACAGTTCGACTTTCTTTGAGCCCCCAAGCCTTATGCCGTACGAACGCGTGCCGTAGAGATAAAGGATGACTCTGTCTACGGCTCGTTGGTGCGATTCGTCCGGGTTCTAGTTGTGGCGGGCTAGCCGGGAGACTGCAAATGCAATATCCGGCCTCGTGGAAATGGCTGAAAAGAGCACAGATCCGACCTTCTGGAGATATTGATGTATCTCCTTTGGTTTGCTTGGCTAGAAGCCGGAAGGAGCTCTTCGTTCGTGACCATCGGAGTGTCTGGGAGCTTCGAAGGGCCTAGGCTTTCGGGAACGTACTTATGAGCTATCTTGTCGATATACGAATCCTGGGTCAGCCAGATCGTTCGATGGGGCCGATCCCGGAGGATGTGTATCCCTAGAAACCATTTAGGTTCCCCTAGGAAGCTCATTTTATAGCGTTCTTCGAGCCTTTGTATGGCTTCCTTAGCTAAGCCTTCATCTTCCTTTCGGTAGGCCCAGATCATGTCGTCCACGTAGAAAAAGACGGTCACGGCACCCTTCATCATCACACAGGGTTCCTGAGGGACTTTCTTGAACCCCAGCTCTTCGAGGAGCCTGTGAGGTGCTGTTGCCAAAGAAGGGGGGATCGGCGTAGACCGTAGAGAGCTTTCCGAAGCCGTAGCACCTTTCCGGGTTTCTGGAAGCCCGGCGGCATCCTCATAAAGACGATTTCTTCCTCTTCAAGGGGGCAATTGACAAATGCGTTGACAGCATCCATCTGATCAAGCTCGAGGTCATACTCGGCGGCAATGGCCATGAGGGTCCGAAAAGACATCCCGGCTAAGGTTGTGGACCGGGTCGGAAGGTCCCCCCTTTTCTGTTGGTTGCCGCAAACGACAAGCCGGGCTTTGCACTTCTGAAGAAGTCCGTGCTTATCTGTCTTATAGATGAATACCCACTTGCATCCGAGAACCTGGTGGCCGGCAACCCTTTTCCAAGAAATCTCTTCAAAGGAGCCCATTTCCTCATGTGAGGCAAGATGATCTTGTTGGGCTTGGGCGAATTCCTC